GTGTGTGTGTGTGTGTGTGTGTGTGTGTGAGATGAGAAGGAGGAATGCCATGTGAGCGAGCACATGTACGTGTGTTTATGTTTGTGTGTCACCTGCTGGATAAAGTCGGCATCACCACCATGACCTTTGCCCCCGTTTAATTTTTTATTTCTTTTACCCTGTCGTCCCCTCCGACCTGCGTCTTCTCTCCGCGTGGAAATCGACTGCACGCCGAAGAAACCGGAGAGGACGAGGGGAGGGTGGCGGGGGCAGAGTGGATGAAGAGATAAATGCACTTTGCATCAGGTTCCTTAATAACTTTTCTTTTTTTGTTTTTTTTTGTTCTTGTTGTTGTTGTTTTTTCTCCAGAGGAAGCATACACACAATGTAGCATCACAATATTTATTACCCTGTCACGATGTTAGCTTGCCGAGCTGCAGGGTGGACCGAGCGGCCGAGAGACACGTGGAGCGAAAGATTAATACGACAGAAATACGACAGCGACGACGCAAAGAAGGATTTCAATGAAGGAAAAGGGGACTGAGCTCTGTGCACCTTAGCCCTGCTGCCTCCACGGACTCGGACCTGCCTCCTTTTTCCACACAAACCATCCTTTTAGCTTAGAGATACTGATGGGAGGGGAGGGCGGGGTGGGACGGGAGAGATAAAATGTATTGTTTTTCTTTTTTTTTTTTTGGTTTTGATTTTTGTTAACTTGTACGCTGTGCAAGGTTGAATTATCCTGTACAGACTGTAAAATGTAATATTATTTTGTACAACTTAATTGAAAGAAAAACAAATCTACTTGTAGATCTTTGTGCCTTGATTATGGCTGTACCTGTAAATGAGCTCAGATGTAAGTATGTTTTCGACTGCGCTGTACAGCTTGATGTCAAACTCTATCGGCAGCGGAAGACTGCGGGTAGGGGACTTTCTCTGTAGAGTTTAGTTTTTTCTGGTTTATAAAAAAAGGAAATGCTGTTTAGTAAAAAATAAAAAATAGGGAAAAAATCCTAAAAACCTGTATACATTATGCAAATTAACCACTTACCTGCAGTGAAGACCAGATGTTGCAGCGCCATGCCTTTTTTTTGTTTTTCTTTTCTTGATTTTATCCTCCTTTTTATTTTGTTTTATTTGAAATTTTTTTTTTTTTTTTTTTTT